ACAGGAGATTTGAAACACAGGAGAGAAGCCCATGTGAAGATGGAGGAAGAGATGAGAGTGGTGCGTCCATAAGCCAAGGAACGTCAAGGATTGCTAGCAGTCCTTAGAGACTAGAGAAGCAAGGAAAGATCCCCCCCAAGAGCCTTCGGAGAGAATGTAGCCATGCTTGATTCTGGACTTCTGCTCTGAGAACACTGAGAACATGAATTCATGTTGTTTTAAGCCACCAAGTTGCGGAAACGTGTCATGGTCACCCTAGGAAACAGTCACCAGTGGCCATGTGGCACAATCCCAGACACGATGCCCTCTCCATCTTCCATTTGTTGCCGTGTTTGACTCAGTTGACTGTTCCTCCCTTGAAGCATCTCACAGGCTGGCTTCCAGGGAACCACTTTCTGTTGGGTTCTCTCTGTTCCTTGTGAATGCTTCGTCTTAGGGTTCTTTACTAGCTTTCTGCTTCCACCTAACCTCTAAATGTCTGCTCTTCTCTCTCTACATTCTCTCAGGTAATCAGATCCATACCTGTGGCTCTAAATATCATCCATGGACTAAAGATTCCCAAATTGATGCCTCCAACTGACACCTGCTGCTCTCTTCAGTCCTGTGTGTACCATGCCTTCTCGACGTAGCAGCTTAGGCGTTTCACGGTAATCTCACACACGAGCAAACACACATTCACAAAACAGAACCTCTGATCTTCATGAAACACTCCTCCTGCCCGCCCCCTAAAAAAAAAAACCTCCTCTAGGTTTCCACATCTAAAGAAACGGCATCTCCACACAATACAATTGCTTCACCAGAAGCTTGGGTGTCCTTCTCTCCCTTATCTCACGTCCAATTCCTAAGCAAGCCGTGTCAATTTAGTACCTAACTATATCTTGAATCCATTCATTTCTCTTTATATCTACCATCATCATCCTGGGGCCACATGGACATTACGTCTCCCTTGGCCTCTTGCAATAGCTTCCAACTAACTGATTCTGCACATGGCGGCTGGAGGAATCTTGTAACGGACCCAATCATGCCATGCTCCTATTCCAAGCCCTTCAAAGGACTCCCACTGAATTGAGCACAGAATCCAAACTCTGTAAGGCCTTTTGTGACCTTGCGTGCCTTCCGTCCCTCTCTCTCCTCCTGCTCTGTCCACAATGGATCTTAGTGGCATCTCCAAGTGGCATCTTAGTGGCATCTCCAAGCGCTTACTAAGCCTCTCCTACCTTGGACCATCTCTGCCTGGGATGGTGTCCCTCGCACTCTGTGCCTTCAGTTCACTTCCTCAGAGGAAACTCTGTGACAGCACCCCCTTCACCCATTTTATGTCCATTTCTCCTGTTATTATCTCTGTCACAGAACTCAATTCTTTCCACCATAGCATTTGTCACCATCTGTAATTACACATTTGATTGTGTTTATTGCTTTACTGTCTCCCCCACGGGGTTGCTTCCAGAAAGCAGCTGGGACTGTGTCTGTTTCTTGTCACTGAGTGCCTAGCTCAGGGGCAGCCACACGTAAATACTCGTGGAATGAATTCACTCTCTTCCCTTCTACACCTCAGACCAGTGTTCTAGAACGCAGGCTTGTCTGCTGAGAACACTTTCACCCAAAAGAAGAAAAAAATAATGAAAATCTACATTTCATGAAAAACACGAAGACTTTGTTTTACAAACATATAAATTATTTTATTTACAAAGCCATGTTACAAAAAAAAAAAAAAAAAAAAGCGAAAAAAAAAAAATACAATCGCTCACCAGAGAATGTCTCCAGGCCTGGTGCTGAACCACGGCAGTATCGATAGACACATGTTTGTTCTTTCCTCTTTAAAACTGTAAGCCATAGAATTTACTATTTACACCCACTCGAGACATTGATTCTGCTTACAATATCACAGGCATGGAATGAATTCTATCTGATAGTGCTAACACATAAAGGTGCCGGACAAAGGGAAATACTTAGTGTTACAAAATATGGATCATAGAAAAGAAACCCACTCCACAAGTGTGGTTGTTTGTTTCGAATGTTTGGACATGCTTTCTTCAAAATTCTTCTGGAAAAGGTTCTAAAATTGGTAGTAGAAAGGACAAATGAACAGGTGCAAATTCTCGTCTGTGCAACAACAGTTATTTAATATACCCCATGACCGACCAGCTACGTCAAACCCACCGAGTTTTTCTTAAAGTGCCATGGGCCAACAGCATAACAAAATATAAGGTGTAAATAGAAAATTTCTTTTTTTCCTTTTTTTAAAACGAGAGTTCACTGAGAATCAGCAATAATAGAATATGCTGTATAAACTATTCTCTACAAAGGTTGATCAGCGTTATTTACAATTGGTACATTGATACAAAAGAAGGCATACAAGTTATCCAGGTCGCTTTTTTATGGCTGACAGGTCTACGCATTGCGTGATGCTGAACCACCAGGGCTTTTGAGCCTCTCCGGCTGGCGACAAGTCACGAGATCTTCAGGCAAATGGGGGTGTGTGCAGTCAAGGGGCTGGGAGAGAGGGCTGAGCAGGCTGTGCGGGACAGAAGAACCCAAAGGGCATCACCCTAAAAACGCTTTACAGGCTGGTCCAGTCGGACTCCGCGAAAACAAACCCAAAGAAAACCTTTGATTGGCGTTCATTTTTCAAGCTGTGAGTTTGCAATACGTCATATTTCTAAACCTGTGGTGGATGGTAAAGGAAGAGACACTGTGGGTTTTCCCTTTTTGCTGTTTTCCAGAAACGTCCTCACCCTGGTCAGAGGCAGTCTTGCACCAAGTAAGCAACATTCGGTGGAGGAGTCTTTTATTCCAGCTTGCAATTCAAGATGTAGGGAGCGCACATGTTTAACCCATGAATTGCTCCTTTAGTCCCCGTCGAGACATTATTTCTCAGAAGCAGCCACTTAATCTCTCAACCTGTATTTTTTCCCTCTTTGAGTGTAAGAGTTTATAAATCAGAGGGTTGTTTTGTTGCTGAGACTTTTTTCTTTTGTTTCTACTCCTGCAAGTTTTACAACTCAAAATAAATTAGGAAAAAACAACGGACTTCGAAAACCGAACGAGACAAAAATTGTGCAAAAATAACAAAGATATGTACATACTTTTCAGTCTGAAGAAATGTACAATAAAAACATAATTCAAAGAACATTTTAAAAATATAAACACTGCTTCAACTTTCCTAAGTTTCATATTGTTTCTGAAACTATTCTGGTCAGTTAGCTCTGTAATATAGTAAAACATAAATTATTACAAAATTAACACTATAAAAATTTACTTTAAGAATATCTTCTAAACTTTTTTTCAAAGGGTCTAACCTTGTTTATAATTTCTTAAACATTTATAAGTCTTAAAATCTGCCTTAACCTTTTTTTTAAAAAAAGAAAACGTAAGAATCTTCCCTTCAATTTGCAGTCTCTTTTTCCCAAGACGTAAATAAACCAGCATATAAGTGCACTTTTAACACTGTGGAAATAAAAATGAAATCATCTGAACTAATGTCCTGGTACCTAAGAGCGACTCCTGATTTTTTTAAAAAAAAATCTTCATTTTATATTAAAAATTTTAGTATCCTATAAGAAACACGGTCAGTGCAACTCCATTGATGCAATTCACTCCGTCGGCCTCCCGTCTTTGCAAAATCCAATCGTGTGGCGAAACTTAACAGTAGTCTGATCTTTGGGTTGTGGGGGATGGGAAAGAAAAGGAAAACTTCAGGATGGGGATGAGAGTTTGTGTCCGGCTGCAAAACCGGCATTCATTTCCGGTTTAGGGATGAAGCAAAACCACCGATGCCCCTGCCGTTGCATCGGATGCAGAATTACGTGCTTCATAGCGCAGCACCCCTATTTCATATTGTGATTTCCTCTCCTGATTGATTCCCTATCTGAGCTCACGGTATTGCTTTCCGTCAAAACTCCAGCGTGGATGCTTTCAGAGCCGCAGGCCCCCAGCTCCTCTCTTTGGGCTCTTCCCCACTCAGCGATGGCTTGGCCTCACCACTCCCTCCAGGGGTGGCTGCACCTGAGCCGGGACCTCTGCTGACCCAGCACAAGCTGATCTATGGAGGTGCTGATGCCGTGGGCCCTGTGGTCCCGGGCACGGAGGTGGGTGGGCGATGCTAGTATTTGTCCTCACCAGCAGTCTGACACTTAACCCCCGGTGGAAGCTTTCCCCCAGAACCTTCCTTCCTTCCTTCCCAGCTTTTTCTCCTCTCGCCTAGCCCGGGAGGGCACCCTGAGAACTCCCACAGCTGTGGGCACCGGGCCTCTTCCTGAGTGGCCTCCTGGGGTCTCGTGCCCTGGGTTTCCCCTGGGATTCCTCCCTCTCTGGCTCGTCCAGCTTGGGGTCCTTGTGCACAGCTCCCTGGAAGGGATTTTGCAGCATGGATTTCCAACAAGCTCAGATTACCACAGTCACCCAGTTCCCACATCTTCTAAGGGATGTCTTCCCCTACCCTCATCTCTGCTTCCTGCCACCTCCTCCCAGGCCCGTTGCAGCCCCTGTCCCTGACCCAGTATATCCTCTCTGAGCTGCACAGCTGGACAGTGGTATTGGGTCAACCTCATCAATAAAGGGCCGCTGTTCTCTTTTTTTCCCCATAGCATCTGGCTTCCGCCAGCTGCACCACAGACCTGCTGAGGGCATTCGGTCCACCCTCCAGCTCTCTGCTGTGGGCTCCCCAGACATGGGCTCCTCCCAGCAAATCCCCTCCCCCCAGCACACTGTCCAGCAGGGAGCCTGTGAGAGCCAGCTCCTTCTCATGGCCAGTGGGGACCCAGTGGGTGCCAGGTCAGAGAGGATGGAAAAGATGGGCGGGAGATGACAAGGAAAGGGCGCTGCGCGTGCTGAAGTTGAAGTTTCAGACGATGCCAACCGGGACCGACATTCTGCAGGGTCCGCTTGTGGGCCGGAGCGCCCGGAAGGTGCAGCGGGAGGATGGGAAGCCAGAGGAGTGACCTGACCTTGGAAGAATGTGTACACGTGGCAAATGAAAGACAACGGAAACCAAACACTGGTATAGTTTTCTGTAAATCTCAATTTCACGTTCTTTTGCCTTTTTCTTTTTCTTCAAAACTAAAAATTGGTCAATTAAAAAGAGAAGAAAGGCAGAGCCACAGGAAAGAGACTCTTCCCCCTGCCCGCTCCCCCCGCCTCTCCCTCGGCCTCCCAGGGTGGGAGCGGGCGGCCAGGCATTGGTTTGGAAGTGGCTTCATAGTCTCGTTATGGAAGAGTCCTTATCCTGCCCGTTCTGTTTGTGGTCTTCTAGGAAAGAAAAGAAAAGAGGTTTCAAAATCACACATTCGCGATTACCCGCGAGAATTCAAGAACGGAGGCCGTTTTCTCATCTCTAGTAAAAAGGATGCTACCCCACCTCCTGCATTCGGAAAGGGCAGCTGTAATGAGCAAATGAGGATGGATGTGAAGGGCTCCGTAAGTGTAAGGTGGCCACGAAGATCCCGGCTGCCGAGGAGCACGCAGGGATGAATCTCGTGGACATTCACGGGGTTCCTTTCCAGGAGAGGGGACTGGAATAATTCCTTTGTCTTTGTTTTTTTCTCTCAAGTGGTTCACGTTTTCCTGCCTAACCTGTAGACAGCACGGAGAATGATCTAAGGGAGAGGTGCCGTGCCGGGTTAAACGGTGCTTCGCAGACAGAGGTTTTGGGTTCAAGTTACTTAGCCTCTTAGCCCAGTCGCTTCATCTACAAAATAAGGATAATCATTCTGTCCCTCACAGGGTTGTTAAAAGGTTTCAACGTATGGAACGTATGTCAAGGGCTTAGCATAGCACCTGCCCCGCGAGACGGGACTCAACAAGCGGTAGCTGTGGTTATTATGATTACGTTTGTTAAGGCGGACCGCCAGCATCCGGTGCCTGGAGCCATGGGCGAAGGCAGCAGTGCCTGGTAAGGGGGCCGTGTGGTCTCCGGGTGCAGGCAGCCCCTGTGCAGGAGGCCTGCCAGAAACAGGTGACTGACAGAGCATGGACGAGCCCCTCTGCCCACGCCCCCCGCCCCCAGGGGATCGCCTGCAGGTGCTCAGGCACAAAAAGGGTCATAGTGACTCAAAATGGTGGAGACACCGTCCTGGCTGAGGATACAAAACTGTTTCCTTATAATCTTCACCCAAACTCTACCCAAGATTTGTAGGGAAACCCCAAAGGCCAAAATGCGGATGAACACATTGCAATTTGGTATCTACACAGGCACATCTAAGACCACAGGACAGCCATATAGGTATTTTTTCCAATTGTGTATAAGACACACAACCCGGTCCTCCAGCTCTGGACACACACACTGCACTGGAGTCATCGATACACTGACTACTCTCGCACCCCAAGTTTACAAAAACCCCTAAATCTGACCTGAAGATTCCCACCATGCAACCACATCCTGAACGGCAGCTACAGCCCATGAGAGGCCGGGAGAGCGCTGATTGCCATCTGCCAGTTGACCGCATCTCATTTAATTTTCACAATAACCTTAAGAAGTATACACCAATTTTGCCATTTAATAGAAGAAAAAATCTGAGACTCAGAGAAGTAATTTGCCTAATATCACACAGCTGCTAATAATAATAGGTAACATTTGTGTGTGTGTTACATGTTGGGCATTTTCTAGAGGCTTTATGTGAATAAATTACTTTAATCCTCACAAAGGCCATAGGAGGTCAGGGCCATTATGATCCCCATCTTATAAGCGAGGAAACTGAAGCACAGAGAAGTTAAGTAACTTGCCCAAGGGCACGCAGTTTAATAACTAGCAGGCCTAGGTTTGGAAGCCAGGCCGCCATGCTCTTGACTGGAGATGAGACTGGAAGCAGGGCCCGCCCCAATGCCCACCATCTTTCCGCCCTGCTGATGGCCCTATGTGCGTTTGCCCCTAGTAACTTACCTGTCGGCTGTGTCCTGGGCTGGATATGCTTGAAGGACTGGATTGCGACAGAGCTAGGCTGCTATTTTTCCCAACCTGAAAGACACCAGCAAAACCTGATTCAGACTCACACACCAGCTTGGGGAAGATCCCCCGACACCAAGTGTCGCCCCGGGAAGGGAGATGCTCTGTGTGACAACATGCCCGCGCTGCTCACAGTGGCTTGGAGCTCGCGCTTCCCTCTTCAACATCAGAGAAAATGAAGAGGTTTCAGGGGCTACCTTGATGATGCCCTCTCCTCCCAGAGGGGAGGCGGAAGGGAGGGGAATTCAATTTGCTGCCCCGTGCAGACACGGCAGCTTCAGGGCTGAGGACCAAGGCGTCCTGCGAGAGGCCTGGCCTCTCCTGGGTTCACTTAACCAAGTGGAGGCCCAGCTTTCCCACCCAGGGCCAAGGGTCACACAGACTCATCTGCCTCCCAGCTCACTCCCAGACCCACCTCGTCTCTAGCCCAGACTCCCTCGGACCAGCTGGGGAGAAACGCCGGGCTCTTTTCCTGGGTCGGTTTCCCCAGCCAGGAGACACAGCGAGCACCTCGCTGAGCTGGGTCCTAGGAGGGCAGCACGGGGGCCTGTGGCTGCCGCCATCCAGCTCCTCCCGTCCTCTGTGACTGTCCCTAGGCGGGTACCACTCCCACAGACAGCTCCTGCCTGTAAGCGTCTATAAGGCGCTTGTCCTCTCTGTTAACTCGCCTTTGCAGAATGGCATCTGCCTTACGTTCCCAGTCCTGTTTTTTGTTCAGTTTAATACCTCCGTGGCTAATTCTGGCCTTACGCCTACCGGATACAATGAAGTGGATCCCCAGTTGGTCCCCAGGGCACAGGTCTACCTGGCATTTCTCCACCTCGTGCCGTGCCTCTCCAATCTCCCAACAGAATCAACACAGTCTCCAAAAGCCTTTTCCCGACACCTGGGGATCACCAGTGGTGATCCCAGATAAAGCCTTTTCTAATGGCCTGGTGACCGGCACCCAGGTCTCCTCGCATTAGACTAGACCCTAGGCAGCCATGACATCCATCAGCCGTTTGATTCCCTCCTGATGAGGACTCGCTGGCGGAGGCTTCTCTGCTCCTTTCACACTGGTTTTGACTCATTTGTCACGTCTACTAAACATTTCACACAGTCCTGCAGACCGAAGCATCACCCGGACAATAACGGCAGCCCGTTCATACAGAGGCACGGAGGCTGAGAGGCCAGACTCCAGGGCCACACTGCCTGAGCATGAATCCCAGCCACACTACTTGCTGTGTGACTTTGGGCCCATTGCTTAACCTTCCTGTGCCTCAGTTTACTCATTTGTAAAACAGGGGTCGTCACAGGTAATGATGAAACGAATTAATATATCTGAAGTGCTTGGAGCAGAGTCCGTCCCACATGCAAGTGTTCTCTGCTAGAACTTCGTCCACAGTGGGTGACACTCTAGCCTTGCGGCTCAGGGTGCGGCCTGCACAATGCTGCTGCCTGGGAGCCGTCAGAAATGCACACTCTCAGGCTCCAGCTCAGACCTGCATTTTAATGAGCCCGCCCTGGAGATTCACCTGCACGGTCAAGTTTAGGCAGCTCTGGCCCTCCCCTCCGTGCAGAGCCCTGGAGAGGGCACCGACCAGCAGCTGAGTCTCAGGGCAGGCCCTGTGGGGGCCGGCCCCTCCCCTGCACCCTGGAACTGGGGCATCAGACGGGCGGCCCCCAGGCTCTCTGAGAGGACCCGTGTCTCCCCATCACTTTGGTCTCGGCTGGCCGCTGCCTGGCCCTTGAGATCCAGACTTGCTGTTTCTCATGTGTTTGCTTGTGATCTGAGATGCTCCTCTCTTCATGAAGTTTCAACAAGTCTCATATAAAGATGGCACAGAACATTAAAGCATCTTTTTGACGACTGCCTCTCATCTCTTGAGAGTCCTTGTTCCCAGAGGGGCTGGGCTCAGGAGCCGGCCCACCTCGTTCTGTGGATGGAGACCTGGGGCTGCCTCTATAGTCTGCACGCCGCCCTGGCAGGTATAAGGCCCCTGGGCAGGCCTGCGACCATCCTCCCACCAGCCTCGGCTCGGAGAACCCTGGGCTGGCCCCTCCCCACCTCTGCTCTCTCCTCTGTGCCCAAATGCCACCGGAGTCTGGCGATGGAGGGCTCTCCTGAGTAATTCCCCAGCCTCAGGAGAAGGACTGAGCTTGAGGATGAGAACAGAGCTCACCGGAAAAGACACCCGTGTTCCTCCTGGACCACGCCCCAGCCCCCAGAGCTCCCCGCAACGCACCCTCCCATTGTCCAAGGGCCCGAACACTCCCGTGCCAGCTGCTGTGAGCTGCACTTCTCCTTTAGGAAGGAAAGAGTTACGTTAGGAGGAGGAGGTGTCAGGCAGCCTGGTAAAGTGACGACAACAGCCACCCGGGAGCCGGAAGCTCGAGCCACCATGCCCCAGGTGGGACCAGGTCCTCATTTCACCTGCCCGGGCCTCGGGCTCTTCCTATGGGGATTCCAATAGACTGGATAAAACTTCTCGGCAACAGAACTGTGTAATGAAATCATCCTCAGAAACAGCGCCCAGCACACAGCGAGAGCCGCAGCAAGTCCTTGCTAATAACCTGCCCTCAGAGCAGAGGGTGACACTGCCCCCGGGGGAGCGAGAATGGGGGTCGTGCCGGGGTCACCTGTCTGGAGCTCCTGGCCAGGCAGGGGCGCTGCCCAGCTCCCCCAGCCCCCCTGGAGCCGACGCAGGGGGTGCCCGGAGGCCCCTGGATGCTGGGTCCCTTACCTGCCGAGAGGAGGTGCTGTTAACAGGATCGGGCACCGGTGCGAGAAGGCTGGGCGGGTTCTTTCTGTGAACACTATTCATACCCGGCATTTTAGTAATTTTACAGGCTTTGCTACTAGAACTCGAGTTCTTACGCTTTTTTCCTTCTGATTTGTCAAAAGAGAGGGGCAGAGAAGACACGGCATTGTGGGGGGCCAGAGAGAGGTCCCCTGCAAGGGAGGGCACGGAGAGGGGACAGGAGTCCCCGCTGCCACCCACCGAGCCCACGTGCCTCCCGAGGTCCACGGGGCCGCCGGGCAGCGAGGTCCGTCCTGAGGGCTCCAGTTTGGCACTGAGTGGGCTCCCCCCGTTGTTGGAGTTGTGCACAGACAGACTGTTATAGGGAGGGCCCGCTGGGTAGGAGTTCAAAGCTGAACTGGCATTCAAGACACAGTTCTTTTTGTGGGGCCCTGATAGTGGAGACGAGAGGGGTGTCTGCAAGGGTAAGGAGCAGGAGGAAGTCGAAGACTGCGGCTTCCTCTTTTTGTTACTTGGAGGCTCGTCGCTACGGGCGGACAGGTCCTTGACTTTTGAGGGTTTGCTGGTTTTGGTTTTGGATGGCTTGTGGGATGGGGAAGGGATGATGGCTGGTATCGGGGACACGGCGGATGGGGCCTTGAAGGTTGAGTCCATGATGCTGAGGGTTGCAGCCACGTGAGGGAAAGCCGCGGTGTGTGACATGAGGGCGCTGGGGTCCGGCGATGCCACGAAAGCTGCGTTTGAGAGCATGGCGGATGTCATGATGTAAGAAGAGGTGAGTCTCGAGCTGATGGGAGCTGAAGGGATGTACACAGCACTGGGGGAGCTGAAGGGCTGTAAAACGGGCGCGGCGACGGGGGAAGCGATGTGGGCTGCCGGCGAGGCCATGGGGCTATCCGCCGCGGGAGGAATCTTCCTAAACGTGAGAGAAGACGGAAAGAGAATCCGTGAGAGACAGGCCTGGCATTGGTGCAGAGGCCCGACTGCGTGTGAGCATCGGGGCTCCAGAGAAAACCCCGGCAGAACCAGACTATGGAAGATGAAGCCTTGAAGGATGGCACAGTCTGAATTATGGCCCTTCCCTGTGGTCCCCCACATTGCAACATCCAGAAACCTGTTTTTAGTCACTTTCAGGTTTCCAGATCCTTCTCTCCATGCGTGGCTACTGGATAATGGCTGATTTGGGTTCATGAATCACAGGCCAATGTTATGTAGAATATAAACTTCCCCAACAGTATTCCCTCCTTTTTGGGGGGCAGTGATGAAGGGGGTTTGTAATGAAAAGTGGTCATTTCACACTCAGGTCCTGAACTGAAGTAGGAAGTGTGAGCACAGGGCTCCAACACCTGCACACGTGGGCCGGAGCATCCCCCTGCAGCCTCTGCCCACTGCCTCTCAGGGCCTCCCAGCCCCCTCCTGTCCCCTGCTCTGGGCTGGAGGTGGTGTGGGAAACACCCCCTCCTCCCAGGCCAGCATCCTCCCCCACTCTCTGTCTGCAGCCCCAGCTTGACTCTGCAGAAGCATTTCCCGTCAGCCAGGGGCCGCTGCCTCCCGTTGGCCTGCCCGGCCTGGTGGGGGGCACGGGGCAGTGAGGGGCAGGCTAGGGAGATGATGCAGACGTCAAGCTACCCAGCCTCAGGACTGATATTTTTCCTGTCCACCTCCCTCCACCTCAGCTCTCATTGGGAGGAGCGACAGTTGGGCCATGGCTGCCCTTTAACAGGTCTTCTGTCCTCTGATAGGAGGGGATGACAGTGCAGGGACCCTCACGTATCCAGAGAAGGGCATTGGGCGTCTCTCGTTTGTTCTGAAGATAAATGCAGGATACGGGCACAGGAGAACATGCAGACGAGAGAGGGCTTCCTGAGGGTGGGGGTGCCTGGGACCTCACTCTCTGCCGCTTCCCCTTGTGGAGCCAAGGCTAGCACCAGGTGGCGGGTCAGCTTGGAGCTCCCCTGCAAACGCTGTCTTTTGACTTGTGCTGGAAACAGCTCCCAACTCTAAACCATGGCCCGGGGCGATGCTGCTGCTACCCTGGGGACGGGGACCGGGAGGAGCACGGGGGCCTCGGAGCCACCACCGTTCCTGAGTTGGCAGGAAAGGATACAAGTGAATGTTTTCAAGCTGGCCCCTTCCGAGTCTCATCTTGCTCCCCTCCCCGTTTCCCCTGCAAATCATCCTCGGTGTGGCCGGGGCTCCCCAGCACTTGGGAACTAGCCCCTCTTCTGTGAAAGCAGCCCCGGAAGGCGAGCAGGCCAGGGACCTGTGCCCCGTGGGCTCAGAGCAAGGTGTGAGATGGGGCCTCAGGCAGCCCCTCCTCTCCTTGGAGGCCACCCTCTAGCTGTGGCATCAGGACGAGGCGCCAGGAACTCTGGGAAGAGGCCCTGCAGAGAAGGAAACAGCTCTCCCAGGACTGCTGTCTCTGAGGATTCAGTTTCCTGCCTGCCGTTTGGTGGAGCCTGTGGCTTCCATCTTTAGGATGGAATCCAGAGGACTCCTTGAATACGGGAGCACAGTGTCCTTGAAAACATCAGACTGAGGAGATCAAATGTAAGAGAAAAATGTCGCCAAATCCACCGTGGCCGTGATGGTGTCGGACAACCTACTTTCTCTCAAGCCTAAAGACTGTGAAAGATCCTGTCAGCACTGAACAAGCACTCCATCAGCACTGTTGCAATGAAGGAACGAGTGAACGGATGGATGGATGGATGGGTGGGTGGACGCGTGAGCAGGTGAATTCTCAGCAGCAACATAACTATGCATGCTGGGCAAGGACTCCCACATGAAGACCGGGAGTCTAAACATGCCCTCAGAATGGTTTGACACTGCACAACCCCTTCCTCCCCGGGCGGGCGAGGGCAGGCTCCTCAGCGCGTGGGGTTCAGCACCCTCTCCCTGCCATCTCGGTGGCCTTGCTGTGGTCCTACGGACACCCCACTCAATCTTTCCTTGACTCAAGTTTCTTACCAGCTAAAGTATGGATAGAAATACGTGTGGGAAGGCATTTGCCAGTTACTAGCAATAAAAAGTTATTTACAAACACCAGATGGCTCATTTAGAGAGGACCCCCATCGGTGACCTTAACTGAGATCTCTGAGCGTCCCAATTTGTAATTTTCCCATTAAATAGTATAAATTCATGCTTCAGCTGGTGCTGACAAGCAGAGCGGAAGTCCTCAGTTTTACATGGCCGACACTCAGGACTGGGATGGGTGCTATTTTTCAGCATACTTGCTATCCCATTCCTTCCTCTCCCCACTAATCCTAAGTGGATAGCAGATGCGGAAGGGGAGAAGCAGGGCGAGGGCCATGTGGCGGCTCACCGTCCCCGGGAGCCCCCCCGCCCCCCACGCTCAACAGTTCGTGTGTTTTTCTAGGTGCTAAATGGCAGTGGATTTCAGCTTTGCGGGCTGTGCCCCGATTTAAGCTTTGCACGCTGGCCTAGGGAAGTCCCGTACGAAAGCCCACAGATGCGAATAAATTACGGACAGTGCCCATCCTCCCCTGCCAGCTGGCATGAAGATCCAGATGCTGACCTGGCTGAAAGAGAATACTGTGTTGGCGTCTCCTGATGCAGAGTTAAATGCTTGTTAAAGAAAAAAGAGTCTTGGCTGTTCCTTTTCTTCCTAATGTCTTCCACGCCCCCATCGGCTGCCATCCCTCCAGGTTCCGGCCCGTTGGGGCCTGGGGTTTGGGCAGCGAGGTTGAGAGGGCAGCGGGGTGCTACGCTCTCCAGAGTTGACACCCAGGCAGCCCCAATGTTGCTCAGTGACAGCAGATTGGTTAGGCAAGTCCTGAAAAGGGGGGAGGGACCTGACGCCCTGTGGCTCGGGTTTCTGTGCCTGAGGAGGAAAGGAATATGGAGCTTGAGCTCAGAGGACACCAGGTAGCGAAATACAGATCAACACATTCCTTCCGCGTGTCTGCGATTTACAGTTCCACAACACCGGAGACCAAAGAGCTGCGAGAATCACGGGGCTGGCTGCCGTCTCGGGGGGAGCAAGTGCAGGAGGAGAAATTACCAAAATACCGAGAGCATGGGAACCCCGCGTGCAGCGCCAGTTTGTTGCTCTTTAGAATGGACACAGGTAGATAGCAAGGGTGCCTTTTAGACACACTGGGCAGTCACTTAAATGGGAAGAAACGATAAGCTTCTCTTGTGGCCCTTTCCAACGTTATAGTGAGTGTCAACATTCGGTCCAAATCTACTATGAGAGCTCACTGTAGACACGAGGGGCTGACGCCTCCTAGAAGTTGTGGTCTGGAAGCTCTTTGTGCATCATGGTGAGAGCGGGCTGAGGTGCCAGAGCTGCCCAGGAGAGAGGAGGGACCCAGGCGAGGGCAAGGTTTGAATTCTGTTCCCTTCCCATCCCACTTCTCAGGAATGCCTTCCTCGTCTTTCCCGGGCATCACTGGGCATCACTGGGCAGTGGGAGGTAGAGGTTGAGCATTGGCTTTCCTGAACCATCTGGACCTAGACTTGAGGGGTCCATGATTCTAACCGATCAGGATATCTTAAGAGCTCACCTTGGTAGGAGGGGGGTGTGGGGATAGCCAGGGGGCTGGCCTGGCATTATCAAGTGGCCGGAAAGGCAGTTCCTCGTGAGCTGTGGTTTGAGAGAGTCTAGACTGTCATTCCGTCACAAGAGGAATTTCCTAAATCCAGGAGGTTTCCTCCCTTTTTGTGAGTCTCCCATTCAAAAGTAAACACATCAGGAGGTGTTGGAGAATAAAGGGGCCTTAGAGAAACGGAGCACAAGCTGGGGTTTAGGGGAGAGAAAAGTAGGAGGAGAGGTGAGGAGAGAGTTCCAGGAGGTGGAAGGGCCAAAGATAAGCTTAACTGACTTCACAGCATCGCTTAGGATCTGCCCTGTTGGCCGCTGGACATATTTTTTCACAGGTCATTAAAGAATTAGAAATTGGTCCATAACCGAGATGAAATTTTTAGCATTGACATTGCAGTGTTAACATTACAAACAGAAGCATATTCTTAATGTCCTTGGATGTTCTTTGTCACTTGCACCTTTAACAGCGTTTCATAAAGATTTTATCGAACACTCTTTTCACTTAGAAGATCACCAACACAAAAATGGTCTCTGAAGCAGACCGAGCAGACCACACATGGTACGTGTCTCTGAAAATCTGCAGGCGAACCATTAAGAAGAGCCGCCATTTAAGAATTAATCGTGAATCCTCATTTCAGAATCATTTCGTTCCAGGAAAAGCCAACTACTGGACATTCAGTTAGAAAGCTGGGGTTCAGACAGTTGTGGGGCAGCTCTGATCTCATATTGCACAAAAACTGCTCACTTACTTCCACATCTGTGAATTCAAGTGTTTTTCTACCATGGAGTTTAGTGCGAACCGAAAACGATCCCATCTTCTATCAAACACATAGTACCCTCGTCCCATGAGGCGACTCCCGAACGAGCAAAACTGTGAGGGAAGAGACATTGTAATTTTGATTACAGGTTAATCAGCTAATACAAACCATACAGAGAAAAATAACATTTGCATAAAAACACACAGGGGTACAATTTTACTCAAAATAAAGAAGCGAATAGTACTAGAGCCAAAAATATTTCTGCGGCACTTTAGTTTGAGCGCTCGATTTTCTGCAGAACCTCACATCACGACCCAACAGCGACATTCAACTTTCTGTGGCACTGAGGGCGACCTGGGCAGCCACTGCTCTAGACCTGGGACTCACCTAGCGTTTTAGGTTAAAAAAAGCAACCCAAACCAACAACCACCAGCAGCCAGGGTGACTTTTCAGCACCACCTGCTTATCATAGCATCCGCCTTCGCAAGGAACTCAGTGGTTTGCTGACTCTCATCACAGCAATGGAAACTCCCTGTTCCGATGTGCTGGGTCTTCTGCCAGCTGGTCACACCTTTCCTATCCATTGTCAACAGAGCCACTTGACTTCCAACTAGGCTAAACGCCTTCCTTTCCTAGTCCTGACCTCATCTCCACCTCCTCACAGTGCTTGCAGCCCGCCCCGGGACACATCACCACCTCCAAGCTTACGCTCACGATGTTCCGTCTGCCCGCCGTCTCCTGCCCTCTTCTCTCTGTCAGTCCCAATTCTCCCCTCCCTCGGTGCCAGGATCAAGACTCCCAGTTCCAATGGCCCTCTCTGATTAACCTTGTCACGGTGAACTCCCATGGCACACCTATTGCATACTCTATTTCACCATGGGATCACTACATGACTGTTTCACATTATATATGACGCCCACGGGCCTGACTCGATCCTAATCGTATAAAGGCCAGGGAGCTCATCCTCTTCTTCCCCTTCAGTGGGAGGAGAGTAAGGATTTGGCTTCAAGAATGGATTGGAGACACTAAGGTTCCATAAAATGTTTAAAGCAAATCACCACAGTTAAAACATATGGCTGAAATATGAGCAGTTAGCTGTTTAATAAACATCATTTGATTATGACGTTAGGACACCTGAAAGACAGTAGACAGAAATCCAAGAAGCGGCCTCTGAGAAGGTGACATTTGGCTGCTCTAGAGCTCAGACGAGTCTGCAAATGACTCTATAACTCAAAAGCAGCTTCGCTCCCTTCCCCCGGCCTCCCAGCAGCTCCCTGGCCTCCATCCCAGACACAGCGCTGGATTGGCACTCGCTCCACAAGCCCTTCCTGGAACCAGCCTTTGGAACAGTTCTCAGGAGGAAATGCAAGACCTTCCCTTTGTTTTGTTTCTGCTTATGTTTTGGGGGTTTTGCATTAAAATTTTGCCACCCATCAAATCTGGTACTCCTGATGAAAAACTCCTTTTTGTACCTTTGTATTCAGTGCTACTGACCAAGCAAGAAAACATACAAATGTGCAGACAAACACATCTCCAGCACAGACGCTGGTCCCCAGCGGCATGTGGGAACTTCTCCAGCTCTAGACATCTTTTCTTCCTTCTTCCAGTTGCTAAAGACATCCTGAACGAGTGTTCATTACAAAAAATGACAAGGTAGCCATTGGCCATGAGAGAAAGGACAAACTAAGGAAAGCAATGCATGGCCTTTCCATTGAAATCAGCAGGACGTGAAGGGCACACGAGTCCGCCATGCCCAGAGTTGAGCCTGTTGACAACCATCTTGATGTGCTCCAGACTCTGGCCTCCTGGTAGAGCCCGGTCTCACTTTCAGACTTGGAAGCTGGGGGGCCCCTTCTTGTCTTTGCTACCTGTGTCTCTAATTCAACATAGATGTGAGTCTACATGCCCCGAGAGGCTCCTGTCCTCGGTCGCATATTATGCTCTTGGCAGAGCTGTAGATCCTTACTGTATTGGCCACTGTGGCCAACCCTACTGGGTGCCAATCTCATCAACTGCCATCTGACATCCACTTCTCCTTGTCTTTTCCTTGCTAACAAAACCACACTTTAGTCTGATATCTAACACGAAGCGGTGAGCAAGGAAGGCGAGTCTCCTCTCAGAACCTTGAGGTGACTCATGGCTGATTTCATCCTGTATCACTCAATCCCATCCTTCTCTGCCACCAACTGGCTTAGGGGTGGGGGTGGGCACATGTCCCATTTCTGGTAGATGTAAGGGGAAGTCTGCTGGGGGGACTCATAGGAAGATTTTCTTCCCTGAAAAATGATATATGATAGGGGCCTAGTGGTCAAGTTAGGTGCCCTCCGCTTCAGTGGCCTGGGTTCGGTTCCTGGGCGCGGACCTACATCGCTGTCAGTGGTCCTGCTGTGGTGGTGACCCACATACAAAATAGAGGAAGATTGGCACAGATGTTAAAAAAAAAGCAATGATATAAGATAGCATCTTAGAAGACTCCCCTTGTGTTTGTCCTTTCTACCCTTCGTAGAATGCTGCTGGGTGAGGACGTGCTATTACAGCTGCAGCAGATGCATGGAGACTGTGCAGGAAAGCGGGTCACAGAGGATCTCCCCCCGCAATGACACTGTGGAGATGCCGAACCAAGCTCGGGACCAACTACCTCTAGACTTCTTGTGACGTGAGATCATTAAACGACCGTAGCGCATACACTGTATGCATTGAGTTTTCTATGACTGGCAGTCAAAGGCATTCCTAATTGTCCCGTTTTCTGTCCTAGTCAAGAGGCAGAGTCTCAGGCTGTTGGTGAGCCACAGGTCACCGTCATCCCCAGAAACAGGAAGTGAATTTGGCTTTCATTCACCGGGCCGACAGAAGGGAGGGGGGACTCGCTCTGTCTTGCTGCAGGACTGATTCACCTACATAGTCCGTGAGATCTAGGGATGGGAAAAACCAACCTTGCAGGGCTCAAGCTGGGACCAGAGCAAACCGGCCGTGGGGTCCCATGTTCCCGGCCCCCCGGAATGCAGCTCTGTGATGGCAGACCAGGCATTCCCTTCTTAAGCGCTTGCAGGGCAAACATAAGCCTCCAGCTCATGCCTCCTTTATTTCCCACCTCAATCTCAATGACCTTCTGAACTGTTAAAGTGGACTCTTTCAAGAAATTGGGAAGAAACTGACCTTTTGGTTAATCAGCAATCATGCTGACATAAAACATTTCCTCCTTTCCTCAACACACACACACGCTCAGTTCTGGTGCCATATGGTCACACTTACTAATAACAATGAAACTCAGAATCAACACGGGAGACAACCAGCTAGGGCTGGCACCTGGCACACTGCAGACAGACGGCTTCCAAAGCAGGTGAGCTTAGACTAACTCTTGAAATCAGAGGCTCCATCTTTAGCCAGGCAAGGCTGGAAGGTCAGCCCCCCAGTGTACTTACATAAACACCATTTCTCAGGCATGATCGCTTCAGGGTGGCCCACAAATACTCAGGTGTTTAAAGGATTATAATCAGCTGGGAGCCCTTTCCTTTCCTTCTTGATTTTCAAGGATATTTCTAAGGCAACCATTCAACCGCAGGGGAAGCCTTTTCGTAAGACACTGTCCCGGCGGCCTCTCCTTAGGAAAGCGTGCCGTCTGACATGATCAGCTAAACGCCCGCAAAGCACAGGGGAAAAAAAAAATCCATGGATGGAAACAGAAGGTGACCTACTGCAAGAGGTCTGGGGTGGTGGGTGGAGAAATGACAGTCTAACTTCTCCGATTCGTCGGCACCGTCCATCTCCCCTTCATCACTTGACAGTCGGCTGGCGAGGTCACCTCCAACTGGGGGCAGAGGGGGCTCCGGAGTGTAGCCGCTGTGATTTGAAGACGTGCTGCTGCTTATGCTATTTGCAGATGATGGTCTGAGGGCAAGAGAGAACAAATAGAATAAACTTCTCGGAGGTAACAAGACCCACCCAGTTTAACGGAGCTCAGAAGACAGACCAATTATCCCACCACATCCAGGAAGGCAGGCCAATGGCAAATTTGCACAAGGGAAAAATCCAGCTTGAGAGGGTCGGTAAACCGGCTCTCTACAGTGATCCAGTGGGGCCGAGGCTCGGCCCTGGGTGAATTCGGGCACCAGGGACGACTCCAATGGTGTAAGCAGAGTATAAAACACAGCAATGCGACAGAGAGGCAATTTAACTTAAAACTAGTCTTCCACGAATTCAGTTACAACTCTTCATCCATTTGCATGTAAGTAATTTGTACTTCCACATAACTGCTTCTCTTTGAAAGCGGAACCTGACAGGAAGATCAACCAGGTAAGCAAGTCCAAACCAATTAACAAAATCTCAGGGAGGACGAAGACAGCCCTAGAAATACCTTTTTTGCTACCATACTATGGCTTTACGAAATTGTTATCATACTGGTGTGAAAAAAGATTTTGTCCCAGGGATGGGGCCACAAGTCTCTCACCCCACAGACCCGCCTAGTTCTTAATATCAAGTTGCAAGTAGTTTAATTGTATCTCCCGAGAATGACTGTTTCCATTTGATTTTTGACAAGCCACTAGACCCATGGGGTGGCTGGGTTGGCTCACAGTAGGTGTTGAAGAAATATGTTTCTCAATGAAGGAATGAATGAATTCCACGTGTGTAAACAACCCAAGAGATCTCATCTCAGTTACGGCTAAGCTCGTAGAAAAGCAACGTCACGCCAGCAGGTAGCACCACATGCTTCCGCAGAAAAAAACAAGGCAAAACCAAAACCAAAACCAAAACCTCCACAGCAGTAGAAGAGTTGGAAGAGCAACCATCAAAGTTAGATGGTAGTCGTTTTCAACTGCTTCTCCACTTTCTTCAGGCGATTGACCAGGGAGAAAGACAGGGAGAAGAAGTTTTGGAGAAAAAATATCGAGATTCTTTTCCAAAAAATTTTTTTTCTCCTTTAGCTTTGAAAGCTGCCCCTTCAAATCACACGAAGCTGCACTGTGGATTTGCCTCCCTTCTCTCTCATTTTCACCTTGGATTCTTTGTTGCTTTGAAATCTTTCTAGGTCTCAAATACCTGAGTTCACACCAGAACCCCAAAGCACAGCCACGTTAAAACAAAGCCTCAAAGGTGGAAACCACTCGAATGTCTATCGATAGACGAATGGATAAACAAAGTATGGTATATCCATACAATGGAATATTAGTCAAGTCTTAAAGAGGAATGAAATTCTGACACACGCTGCAGCAGGGGTGAACCTTGAAGACATTATGCTGAGTGAAATAAGCCAGTGACAGAGGACATTCCATGTACATGAGGTACCTAGAAGAGTCAAATTCATAGACAGAAGGTAGAACAGTGGTTACAGGGCTGGGGGATGGGGAATGGGGATTAGTGTTTAACGTCTGGTACAGAGTTTCGGTTGGGGATGACGAAAAAGTTCTGGAGGTGGATGGTGGTGACGCTTGCACCACAGTGTGAATGTACTTAACGCCACTGACCTGCACACTTAGAAATGGTGCAAATGGTAAATTTTATATATTTTACCACAATAAAAAAACCCACAAAAAACCAAAAACAAAGCCAGAGGTAGTTTTACAGTGTTACTACAAGAACTTTGTGGGTATGAGAATTTATTACTGACTATCACTTTCCCACCCCTATAAAAACAAAGATACCATTCACTCTGCATGTTAAAGGTCTACAGTCCAGAGGACACATCTCCCCAGGTACCTACTCTCCTCTATCAGTTGGGGCAACAGCACCATTGCCTGTTTACAGCAAAGCCCCAAAGAGCAAAACCATTTTGATAACGCTGGAACACATAAAGAAAGAAAACAGCGCTCATAATCCTGCCACTCAGGATCAAGTGCTATTACCATTTTGATTTACATCCTTCCAGACTCTCTACTGTGCACACACAGGCACATGCATTTTTAAGCAACAACTGAGTCACACTTACATACTATTTTGAGACATGCTTTTTTTTTTTAACCTAGTGACGTTGTAGAAATCTTCTCATGTATAGAACTATATCACCATTTTTAATATTCCCCAGTATTCCATAGTATGCATATATCACAATTTACTAGTCTACTGATGGATGTTTAGCTTGTTTCCAAACTTTCTGGTAGGCTCTTTTTGAAGCCCCCCTCCCTGCCCCCCCACCCCCAATGATAGGACCTCCTCATCCTGCAGGAGATAAAAGTGAGCTGGATTTTGCGAAGTGTGATAATAACATCATGGTTACATAGGGAAATAGCTTTGCTTTTAAAGATGCATTTGGAAATGTTGAGAGGTGAAAGGCTATGACACCTGCAATTTACTTTGAAGGAATATTATCAAAAAATGTAGATGAAGTAAATATAACTGCAAAATACTAATATTGCAACCGTTGAAACTAGGCATGCAGGTGCTCATTATATTATTCTCTCTACTTTTCTGTAGATGGGAAAAATTCCGTAATAAAAAGTAGAAAAAGAAAAAGAAAAAGTGAGCCAGTAGTACAGGTATGTGTAATAAGGTGGTAAGGGACTTCCTGTTAAATGTGGCAGACTCATCGAACACACTTATCTCCTCTCCCTCCCCAAATCCTGCTAAACGCACACGAAAGGCATAAAAAAGGCATTATTCCTGAACAACAGCGACGTCAGCAGAAATGTGGTGGCAGTTACAGTGAGGACTTCCCAGCCTCCACTTCAACCCTAAACCAATGACTGGAATCTCATTGATCTCGCTAATGATTGGTTCGGAAAAGGGCATGGGAAATAAAAGAAAATATCTATTTTTTGCGTGAGGGGGCTTTTGCAAAGATTTTTCTCATTTTAAAAAGAGACACATGGAAAAGGTGGTCTGCATCTTCATCTGGACCTTGTTTTATCTGGATGTGCCTGGAAATGCTGCAGCCACCTTGCTGGAGACGGAAGGTGAAGCCAGAAGACCGCAGAGGGCGGAATAAAAGAAGAGCCAAGTCCTGGTCTTTGGGAACTGGTGCCCTTTCACCTCTGGACTTCTTGTCACATGTGATAAGAAGTTTCCTAATTATTTAAGCGTTTAGTAAGACTAGGTTTTCTGAAGCATCTCAATTGATGGGCGTGTGAACAAGAGATTTTAACGTATTTTTAGAAGACAGAACGTGGCTGGAGAAGTGTTAACTGACGGGGAGAGAGCTGACCTGCCACAGAAGCTCTGAGGAGTAGGGCACCTGGAGCTACCCAGAGCTGCGAAAGTTACGGGTGAGGTGAGAACTCAACACAGTGGGAGAGCTGAAAGTCTTCAGGTCACCCCTACCTCACACAGCCAGGCGACTCACCTCGGCCCTGCCAGGCCCACCCCCCCCACTCAACTCTCCAACAAGAGAACAAAGGTTCACTCTCCAGAGAAATTGAACGGGAGGGACCCTAGGCCTGGGGCCACCAGGCTCAGCAGATCAGGAGTGAGGCACAGGGCTGGAAAGAGGGTGCCTGTGGGCCATCCCTAGTCAGACCTTTAGTCCGCGCTCCCAGAAGGCCTACTGCCAGGCACAGCACCAGGCAGGATGCTTCCCCTGAGAGAGCGAATGGCCCCAGAGACAAGGCTTCCGGACCTTGCCTTTGGGAATCCTCCAGCAAAAGGCTGCCTGGTGACCCGATGACAGTCCACACAGACTCCCAACCAGCCCGTTAGAGCATCGCTTCTGAATATGAATGGTTAGGGATCACCAAACACTCCTGGAGCATCTCCAACGTGAGACTGACCGATCAAACATCAAAGGTGCGAACACAGACATGAAACAAATCTGGAGGAAGTGAAGACAATACAGGAAAGAGGAAAAACTCATAAACCTATCTTCAAAGACATTAGAACAGTATTACTGCTGCAAAATGATAGCATCTCATTGGAAATAAAAGAAGCAATCAGCTAAAAAGAACTAGATCCTAAAAATTAAAAAAGTGAAACATAAATTGATTATTTAATATACAGCTTTGTTCTTTTTGAGGAAGATTAGCCCTAAGTTAACATCCACCGCCAATCCCTTTTTTTTTTTTTTTTGCTGAGGAATATTGGCCCTGAGCTATCATCCATGCCATCTTCCTCTACTTTATATGTGGGACGCCTGCCACAGAATGGCTTGATAAGCAGTGTGTAGGTCGCACCTGGGATCTGAACCGGTGAACCCCGGGCCGCCGAAACACAGTGTGCGACTTAACTGCTGCACCACCAGGCTGGCCCCATAATACACACTTTTGAAGGTAAACTAAAAGAAAATCTTTTAGAAAGTAGAATAAGAGATTAAGAGAGACAACAGGAGAAAAGAGATAAGAAAATGAAAGATCAGAGCAAAGGTCTAACGTCAACTAACGGGAGGTCAAGAAAGAGAGAATAGAGAAAATAGTGGGGAGAAAATTATCCAAGACGTAACATAGGAAAATACCCCAGAAACAATCCCAGATTAAAAGGATCTACTGAGTACCCAGTACAGCGAGTAAAAAAAGACCCACATCAGGGCTGGCCCCGTGGCCGAGTGGTTAAGTTTGTGCACTCCGCTGCGGTGGCCCAGGGTTTCACCAGTTTGGATCCTGGGCGCAGACATGGAACCACTCATCAAGCCACGCTGAGGCGGTGTCCCACATGCCACAACTAGAAGGACCCACAACTAAAAATACACAACTAAGTACCGGGGGGCTTTGGGGAGCAAAAGGAAAAATAAAAATCTTTTAAAAAAAAAAACACCTACAACAAGAGTGATGCCTGTGAAATTTCAGAGCCCCAGGCTTCAGAGACAAAAAGTGGTCACGGGCAAAGAAATGGGAATCAGGATGAATGATACCAAACTTCTCGATAAAAACTTTTGATGCTAGAAGCCAATGGAAAAATGTCTTCAAAATTCTGTAGGGAAATGATTTTCAACCCAGTTATACACTCAGGGAGATTACTGATGAAGTCATGAGGGTAGAACAAAAACATTTTCAGGACTATAGGGATTCTAAAAATGGAGCTCCCATGCACCTCTTCACAGGAAGCTAATGGAGGAGGCGCTCCATCAAAAGAAAGGAGGAAACCACGGGAGGAAGGCCTGAGATCCAGAATCAGGCGCTCCCGCACAGAGTGATGAGAGTCCCAGGAAGGCAAGAACCGCTTTTTCTCTCCTAAGTCTTTTAGTACTATCTGATTTTTGAATTATGTGCCTGTATTACTTTGATTAAAAAGATGGAGTTTAATTAAGGAAAAAAAACTGGTTGAAACACTCAACAGTAAGTTCCAGTTGCCAGATAAAAGAGAGGAGATGCGGAGAGGAGAATCCTGGAGGGTAACGCTGAGCGTGGAAACCGTGTGCTCCAGAGCAGACCGGTGTCGAGAGCAAAGGCAGGAGTGAGCAACGGTGTGCACACCAAGAAGGAGGAGCTCTGACTCTTCTCCTTTTCAGGCTTGTCTCACTCAGCATGTATGCACCTCCAGGCGATGATGGAGTGGTGGATGTTTCAAGACCTTCCAGGAGTGTGCTGGAAATAGCCTGTGTCTCGGAAAGAACAAGGCTTGGCGAGGAGTGGTGGGGAGTGGGGCGACTAGTCATGAGAAAGTGTTGCAAAAGCCACTCAGGTTTCTTAAGCGGCCATCCACCCTCTCCCCCTCAACATGACATCCCTCCTCCCCTCTTGACTTACCAGTCTGGACAATGCCTGTGAGGAGGGTCCCTGTCCAGTTCCACTCCAAAGAAACTTAGAAAGTCCCCACCCTCATCACTTTGAGGGAGCACGGGCATCAGTCCTCTGAGCAAAGAGGGCGCAGGCAAGTGACCTGAACCAAGCCCCCACAATATGGCCAGGCATGTCATGTATATTTTCTCATCCGAGTTACCCACTGCCGTAGGTGCGTGTGACTATTTGTTATCAACACTTCTCAGATGAGGAAATTGGTTGCAAAGCTAATAAGAGGTGGAAATGAGACTTGACTCTGTCTGCTTGAGTCCAAAGCCTCCCTCATTGTGGAAGGGATGGAGAAAAAGACAAACGTAAGGCAAGGAGAGAAATGCTTTGCCGTTTGGCAATGACACCATCCTAATGAGTCATGAGCGGAAGTTGCTTTCACTCCAGGTTCATCTCTGCCCTTTCTCAGGGATCTGGGACCTTCCGCCTCTCTCCCTGCTGCCCTTGTCAGTCTAAGATTCAACGGGTTTTACCATTTTATACTTTAAGATGAGACGTGTGAGCGTCTCCAAGACAGAGAGAACGTGCGCAGAGCCTGGCTTCTCAGAGCCGGGCTCCATCCTCTGCCCCCTTCTTCCTTTCCAACGAGTCCTGAAGGGCTGGGCTGCTCATCCACAGCCCTTGGGCACTTTGGGGCAACTAATGCGTCCTCTTAGAGTTTGGGGCAAAGAAACAGAGCACATGGGCATGTTAATTAAGGGCCCCCAAGTTGGGGGACAGAGGCCAGGAGGCGGGGCAAATGGAAATCAGGCAGCACTGTTATCTTCATCTACTCGCACTGCTGCCCACCAAACACCACCACCACTTACCACCAGCTGCCGTTAAGTGCTGGTCATGAGCTTGGTACTCTATCTCACTTAATTTGTCTCAGCTCCCTTTTACAGATGGGCAGCTTGAGGCCAGAGAAGCTAAGAAACATGACCGTGCTCCTCCAGTTCTTTAGCATGGAGCTGAGATGTGCGCTTCCAGTCCCGTCCCAGCCCTTGTTACCTAACTTTTAACGTTTCCAACTCTCCACCCAAGTTCCTTTTTCAGGAACCCCTGACAAGAATGGGCTGCAATTTAAGAACATGAGAATGGAAAGATTTTCAAGATTACCAAAACGATATGTAAGAAATAAATTCACACATGTTAGCATCTCCTACAAAAGGAATTCACGATTGGGAAGGGATTAAGATAATTCCATTCACGTGATAATTTTTTGCCAATTATAGATGATTAGTGATTGACATACCTATTATATATATGATTAATATGAGGAAAATAAATGTTGTTTTAAGTTTTACGTGAGTACATTGTTTTGATCACGCTTTTTCAGTCTCTGATGGCACGGGGTCTCCTCCTAATCTAAAGCAAGTGGAAGAGGATGCTATTCCCCGCTAACACTGAAACAGCTCACCCTGGAGTTTTCTGGTGCCTGTGTCAACCTTGATAAGCATCCTCAAAAATGATTCTGTCACCAACACTTGTAATGTGCTCCTCTTTGCCTCCCCCTCCTCTCAGGGACCTCCTTCTTGCTGACCGACCTCGCTCGCTCTCCTTCTTTCTCTTCCCTAAGAGAACTGGCTGTCCCCTGGCTCCTCTGTTAAGCTGGGTACCACTGCTCGGGGGAGAAGCGCCCCAACAGTCACAATCGATGGAGAAATGTATCATAAAGGAGGATTTTCAAACTGGGTTCCCTGGAGTCCTTGGGGAGTTTGAGGCGATCCCTAGGACGGGCCAGGGGACAGTGGGCTCTGCGTACATGTGTGCCGAAAGCAGGGCTGAGCTGGCTGCAGGTGGAGGCAGGTCTGCCTGTATATTGGGTACCATGTAAGGTTTTGTGAAATCACAAGTTCTACAGCCACAGAGAAGTCTGGAAGAGAACCGTCTCCTCAACTCTACAGCAAGGGGAATATCCTTCCCCGACATCTGGCATTACAGTGAGAAGTAATTATAAAACGATCTTGCACAATGAGGGGCGGCGTGTAAGTGATGACAACAACACGACAGTGGTTATGGTGATGGAAATGTGTGTGGGTGGCGGGTCCACCTGACCACGTCCTCCTGAAGCCTGAAGCAGAGGTTGGCGGTTCCGACGGAGGGACTGTGGCTGTCACACTGGGTCAGGCTTGCACCAAGGTGGAAGGCATGGGGTGAGGACCTGGGAGCTCGGGAATCACCGCCGTCAAATATTTGCTTTTGCTTCAGAAATCAACTGCTTCCCCTTCTTTTATAACTGTGTCCTCTGGATGCCTACTGCTGACTGGACCCTTTGAGACGCTCACCGTCTGCAGTAAAAATCATCAGATAAAGCCACTATCTGCACTTCTCATGTTGTATTATTAATGTTCCCTTTGTAGAAAGTTATGGATATTTGAGTCTTATCTTCTAAACCCTAAGTTCTTGAAAAGCAGGCTCTCGTTTCATTGATCTCCATACCCCTGCCTGGGACTACCTTGTTTATGCTCGATAAATATTTTTGAACGAAGGATCCCCTATCCTATGACCCGGAAATCGTCTACTGCTCAATCCAGCACTCCACTGCCCAACAAAACAGACATTTGGACTTTAAATCGCTCTTTATCCAAATGGGTTTTAACTCTGTTCTCTGTTCTTTCCTTTTTGTCCAGGACAACCAAATGAAACCCCGGACAGGCGGCTTGGCTGTCCTGGTGTGGAGGGAAATGTAAGGACTCTCTCATGCCAATTTTCCCTTCAACCTCATCATCAGACAGTTGCGGAAAAAATTCACGAAACATTGGGGCGAACGGGTGCCTAAGGTGTGCGGACGACCCGCCCACCAGGGTTTCCGCACTCTCAGCTCCGGGAACTGTCAACCAATCTAAAACCCCAGGCAGCCAGGCAGTTGCCTGGTGGCTGATATGTCATCCTCCCAGCTACTGATTTCCAGCTTACTCCTGCTCTATAAAAAGGCACAAGTCTGACAGAGGTCTGCTGTGAAAGATGATGATGACGATGACGACAGTGATGATGAGAATGATGACAGCGGGAAAACCCACTGAAGACTGTGTGGCAGGCACTGGGCTGAACCTCTTAAGCTCAGTATCTCATTTCAACTGCACAACCACCCTATGAGGCAGGACCGTCACAGCTTCCATTTAACGAGTGAACAGACCACGCACGACCCAGCAAGGCAGTCACTTGACCAAGGACTCAGGGCTTCTATCGTCAAGGTGGGACTTACCTGGGAAGCACAGAGTTAGGTGGCCTGGATTTTGCAGGGGATGCGACTTTAGGTTCTGGTCCAGAGCTCCCTGAAGGTCCTGGCAGGGAGTCCGGAGCCGGCCCGGACTGGTTTGGAAGTACTTCCCTTGCTGAAGCCAGGAGATGCTCTTTATCTTTAACTTCTTTTTCCCGAGACTTGGCTTTGTGTTCTGCCAGAAGGAGGTCAAATTGCTTTTTCCGGCCCGGGACTGCCCTCCGATGGCTTAGCGAGTGTGTCTAAGGAGAAGAGAGATGAAAAGCACAGCCTCTTTGATCAGCACATAAACCTGCTTCCCCGGGCCCTCCATTTCAGAAACAGCAATTCATGAGAATTTAGAGGTGCTTGAAAAGTCAACTTCAAGGCAACAGCTCCTGGTCTGTGGCTGGGAAGAGGCAGAGACCACACAAACGCAACCATGCCCTACACTCCTGGCGGTCAGAAGCCGAAGCTTCCTCCAGAAAATGGCATAAGATGACCAGCTTCAGCGCAGAACCCGCGAGAACCTCTCTGAGGAAAGGCGACCGTGTGGGAGGGCCAGAGTTAATCCAGGTGCAGGTGGGAGCTTGCTGTGGCCCAGACACACAGAGCCACCGAGCGGAGAGGGCCACAGCCCCGATCCCAAGAAGCGCTAGCAGTTCTGCATGAAATATGGGGCTGGGGGCTGCCCGATGGCGGCCACCTTGGGTCAGCTGTGCCCCGGCCACACCGGCGTGGCCAGATCAGGGGCGCGCAGACCGTCCTCCCCTCCAGGGCCGCCTTTCTGGGCGCTGCCGCGCGCCGCCGCTCCTGCATACATTAAAACGTAGCAGGGTTTAGAACCGCCCGTGAGTGCCTATAAATACAATTTACTGTCTGGCCTCACAAGGAACAGGGGAAGCCTATTTTTTTTTTTTTTTCCTTCTTAAAAAGCCAGCCAGCTTGAGGCAGGCACTCTGCTACCATGGAAGAGAAGAAAGCATTTCCCTTACAAAGAACAGCTGGGGGTCATGTCGAGGTTCCACACCCTGCCGTGTGCAGAGAGTGGCATGCAAACATTTCGACAAAGGCCCCAGCGAGAGCAGGAAGTATTTTTTACGGAAAGAGAAATACCTTGCAGGTGAGGGATCTTGTGCAAGGTTTCTTTGTCTCGGGATCCAACACTCCACAGTGTTTATTTGGGTCAAATTCTCTCTCTGGTTTAAGAAACAAACAAAAAATATAAGAAAAAAAGGAGACTAAAGAGGATTTGGCATTAAGACTACATTTAAAAAAAAATGCACATTTGCACCAACAAGTGAGACATTGTCAGGCAATCTGTTTTTTTTTTTTTTTTTTCCCCCAACCGGCTGCTAAAATGCTTCAAGAACCGCTCAGGGGAAAATGGCGCTCCCCTCTGAACCCCGAGTTCCCAGGTGCAGCCTCAGGGGGATGTGAAGGCAGCACCAGACTCAGGGGAGAGGGTGGGGCGGGCAAGGAGCTGCGCAGCTCACACCCCATTTCACTGGAAGCCGTGCCCCCCCCCAAGGACTTGGCGCTCTGGGCAAAGCTGGCTGCAGACCAGGCAGAGCCACCTGAGGCCCGGGGGCCACTTCTTCCTGGGCAGATCCAAGAATACATGGCCCCCTCCCCCACCCGGCCTTCCTGCTTGTTTGAGCCATTTAAGTGGGAGGTGTCTGTGTGACCTGCCTCGCTTGGGCTCTCCAAAGTCCTCAGCACAAGGCTTTCCACACAGTGGACCAGAAAAGTCCTTTAGCTGATTCAGGAACATCTTCGCGGTGTCACAGGCAGGGGCAGGGGCAGGAGCGTCTGAACTTGAAGGTGCATGCAGGGCAGGGCCTGCTGGTCTCACAGCTCGCTCTGCCCCCAGCACGGGGCCTGTGGCTCCAAGTGGGAATGAGGCCGGTCGAGCTGGCCCCTGGGGATGAGGGAGGGATGCACAGAGGCCAGGCCTTCCCAGCTCTTGCCTGCCCGCTGGGCTGCCGATGGCTCGTGCTGAGGTTACTTCTAAGGAACCCGTTCTTTTTATGCCTATTTCGGATCCTTCCGGATTACAAAAATGCTCTCGTCCCCTGGAAAATGAAGGGACACGAGGCAATCTCTCAAGGATCCTTTAGGCTTTAAAGTGCCACCTGTCAGATGGCCCGTGTGGCTTCTGGAAGGTACCCAGCCAACACCTGAATCCTGCAGGGTGGGAAGGCTCTTCTGGGCATTCAAGGAGATCAGCAGCAGTGCTGGTGTGTGGGTGGGTGGGGGGTGCACACGAATTCGCTGAAAAGTCTCCATGAGAGGTTCGAATGGCTGCAAACTGAAAAGAGGTTACCTAGCCTGCAAAACTGTCTGAAATTGGTGGAGTAAACTCTGAGTGTAATAAATGAACGTGTCCTATTTTTAAAAGACGGTTTGGGGGTCGTGGGGTGTTTGCAACGGCGGCAATGATGCCATGGGCAATAAAACCATTCTTACATCCAGGACAGAGTCCCGGGTTGGCTGTCCAAATGCCTCCTACCCCTTGTTCTGGCTTTTGCCTTCTTTTTTTTTTTAGCTTCACCTTTAAGACTAGAAAACGGCCAGGCCTGGAGATGCCCGTTTCCTATGTGCCTCTCTGCCCACTGCGGAGGGCAGGGGTGCTAGGCCCCGGGCTACCTGGCATGCACTTCTTTCCCTGGGGCCTGTCAGAGTCAGACCTGTGCCCAGAGCCACCCCAGAACTCATGCTGGGCTGGAACTGAGCAGGTTGTTTGGCTGGGGGTAGGAGCTGGCTGCCAAATGTGGAAGCGAGAGAGAAACAAGCAAAGACCCAATGAGACAAAACAACCAACAAAATGCAAAACCAACAAACAGCAAAAAAAAACACCCCAAACCCAAACGACTTCAGATTGGGGTGCAGGCTGGAAGCCATGGTCATGTGCTTCTGCCACAATGAGGAAACACACCCTCTGGACACTGTGCCCAGCCAGGCCTACTGGTTTTTCCAAGGATGCTGCCACCCACCTCTGCAGAACGCTACTGAACTTTCCAGTCAGGAGGAGAGCCAGGAGCTGGGGGCTCCTGTCCACACCCTGCAGCCCCAAACGCTCAAGGAGAGCACCAACTGGGCGAATAGTACATGGGGAGACTTTTAGGGCAAGATGCCTGTGTCTTTTGATTGCTTTGGGCCTGAGGTACTCTTTAGATATAATATTTTACAAAGCTACAGAAGTAAGATAGAAAAACTGAAATACAGATAAACACGAAGTAGAACATAAAAACGACCCACCATTCTCGGGGTGCTTAAGAATTATGTGCATACCAGAGGACGTAGTTTCTCTCTCACAGGGTGCCTCTCTCTGTATTGTCTTTTTTCTGGTCAACATTTGATAACTCCCCATGGTGTGTGAAGAAGGTACAAAGTTTATAGCTTTTCTCGGTCTTTTGGAGAGAGCAGAACTGCCAGATTGAGTTCTACGACAAATCCAAAGCAAATATCATCCACATGGGGGCCCCGAAGGGCAACCACCGCCTCAAAGACTGGCCATGTGCTTCTTGCTGGGCACCCCGAGTGCCCATTCAGACAACCAAGAAGCAGATCCGAGAGGGACCCCTCCACACCCCCTCTGCTGTGCCAGGCCAAGCCTTCCTGGATGGGATTTCCAACCTGAGTGTGTCGGAGAGGCAGCTGTAGCCCCAGATCACAGAGTCAACCTGGAAACCAAGTAGACCAAGGAGAGAGTGGGGCAGACGGCACTGATGGCACTGTCCCCAGCCTGCCCGGAGCCGCTGCGCGACATCACTGTGGGTTGTCCAACTTCACGGCAGTGAAGTTTCCACAGAACCCAGGGGCAGTTCATTCTGTCTGCATAAGACCCTCGGGATCCACAGGTCCTTGTGGTCGGCACAGAGCATCCTGCCTCCTGAGCCACGAGGCTGACTCTCGCTAAGCACTGAGCCAAGCCAGAGACCCCATCTGGCCCGGGAATAAGAGACCCAGTTCTTCCTTGCATTTTAGGTGGGGGGTCCTGTTTGCAGGTAAACTCTGTGTTCCCTTAAAATGAAACAGACCGGCTTAATTCTAAGAACACATCACTCCTTGGTTAGGGATGTGACTTGGTTTCACTCTAACCATGAGCCAGACTCTAAGGACACAGACACGTACCTGAAACTCTCCTGTAAGGCTTGTTGTTGTTTTTGGTGCCATTTTGGTGTTTCTTGTCTATTGTGGCGGATAGAATTCCTTTGCCATTTAAGATCTTCTCTGGGGAAGGTGGCACTGACTTGGACATCAAGACCGCCTTAATTAAAGGTGGGGTAGAGATGGCAGAGGATGAAGTGGAGTAGCACGTGACCGCAGCAGTGGTTGCAGAGTTCATTTTGACATTGGCACCATCTGCCTTCACTAGGTTAGGAATTTTCTCTAAACTGACTACAGGAACCGGAACGCTGAAAAAGAAAGGAACACACACAATTGCCTTCTTTGACACGTCTGGCGCGCTGAGAAGCAATACCTGCTCATCGTCATCAGGATCCTTCCTTATCACTTATTTATATTCCTCCTATAAGCGAGCAGCATGATTCCAGTTTTGATGGGAGGGAAATCTGTGCCTTGGAAAGGACCAGCAGGGAATGAGTGGCTGGCACAGGGCCAGGGATGGCATCAAAGCTGACTGATTACCTCCCGTACCGGTTGCCCCCATAGATCCTGCAGCTCCCCCCTTCTCGGTCCCTATATGTCACTGCCTCTGAGATGGAACCTTGGGCAGAACAAGGTGCCCACTGTGAAGCTCAGGAAGAGATGCTGTTTGTCCCCTGAAGACGGTGTGCCACTGTGCCACTTGCTGAATCACGCTCCCCCCACAACCCCCCCCATGCTCGGCTGGTCTCCCACCTGGCGGTCGGGCCTGACATCTGCTTAGCTTGGGAGTGCTGACAGGCTCACACCACACAGAGGCATGGCTGCAGGCCAGCGTGCCCCGCCACACGCTGTCGGAGGACTTCTGCATCGCTCTTACATCCTGGGGATGGCTCGGATTGAGTGAGCCGCCATGTAACATTATCTAATATTCCATTTTAGGCAGCTAGTTATGTAAATAGGCAATTCTCAAGGCTGGCAGGTGAGAGGATGAATTTTAAGAAGCCAGAGCACAAAGGTGGATGTTTGCTCTTCAGAATCTGTCACCTTCGCCCCTCTTCCCTGCTATTTCTCCTGTAATGGATACGCATTTGATTTCTGTGCATTTAATGCTGGAGGACCCCGTGTCTGGGGGGCTCTGGAGGACTCTGTCTCGGGGTCTTAAAAGATGAGATGAGGTGAATAAGCTTTGCTTTGATTCCTGAACCAGATTCCCTTTCCTCCTTACAAGAGGGCAGAATGCTAACACTTCAGCCCCCGAGTCATCTCTGAGCTGAGGGTGGAGCCGACTTAGCTATTTGAATGCCAAACGATCTAGAATACGGCTTATATGCCTGCAGACAACGAAGGGCATGAGAGACAGGCTGGTTTTGGCAGAGGAGGAATCTTATTCGTCCACATGGCTGGCTGGCTCTCCTTAAGATTCATTCAGAGATCCTTTCTTTGATCAGTCTGTTCACGAAATTATTTCAGCACCCCCTCAGCCCCTGCTCCTTCTCTGACTTTGAAACAGGATCACAGATGTTATTTATAGGACTTCACCAGTGAGAAGGGCACTCAGCGGTGGAGCAGACTGCCGTGGACCTCACCGACTTGCCCCTGGGGCCACGCACTTTCTTGGCCTGGGGTGAGGGTGGTGTGGGACTTCAGGCCCCAAGGCAGGGAAAACTGGAACGGTGGTTTTAGTAAGACACCAAGTCTTGACAATTCCGTCCTTTGTCAGTGTCCCCATCACTGAGACACAGCTGAACTGCTGCCACTTTCTGTTTAATGGTAATTCTCAAAGCACTCACATATCGCTGAAGAACAGCACACGAAGCCCTTGAAAAGTCAGCACGCTAAGACGCTATAAAGCTATTACCTGGTGAAGTTAGTGCTGCATTTCCAAACGGGCAAAAATGCAAAACCATGGGGTATGGAATCCTTCTAGAATCATTCCTTCACTCAACTTGACAAGACACAAATTGCAGAAATCAGGGTCTCAAAGAGAGATGTGTACACCCAGTTCATAGCAACACTATCCATAATAGCTAAACTGTGGAAGCAGCCCAAGTGTCCAATGATGGATGAATGAATAAACAAAATGTGGTATGTACATACAATGGAATATTATTCAGCCTCAAAAAAGAAGGAATTTCTGACACACAGGTGAATGTTGAGGACAGTATGCTAAGTGAAATAAGCCGGTCACAAAAAAGACAAATACTGCATGATTTCACTTATATGAGGTATGCAGAGTGGTCAAGTTCATGGGGACAGAAAGTGGAATGGTGGTTGCCGGGGGTCAGGGACTGGTGAGAAAGGGGAGTTGTTATTTAATGGGTATAGAGTTTCAGTTTTTAAATTTTTTTTTTCTTCTTCTCCCCAAAGCCCCCCAGTACCTAGTTGTATATTCTAGTTGCAGGTCCTTCTGGTTGTGGCATGTGGGACGCCACCTCAGCATGGCCTGATGAGTGCTGCCATGTCCGCACCAGGATCCGAACCAGCGAAACCCCGGGCCGCCAAAGCAGAGCACTTGAACTTAACCACTCAGCCGCGGAGCCGGCCCCCTAGAGTTTCAGTTTTGCCAGATGGAAAGAGTTCTGGAGACCGGTTGCACTGCTGAATTGTATGCTTAAAAATGGTGAAGATGGTAAATTTCGTTACGTGTATTTGACCACAACTAAAAATTAAAAAAAAAAATACACAAACCAAAATAAAACTCCCACAAATTACAAAACTCACACAACTTAAATTATACTTCAGTATCCTGACTTTGAAAATCCACGCTATAAGGGCCTGCTGAAAAAGCTCTTGTTGAGTGTTGGTGTGAACACGCGGACTACTAGCCAGGTGAGAGGCTCCTCAGCGCCCGAGTGGTCCTCTCTGATATCCTTCTTTGTGAAGCCACGTGAGTTCAGGAAAGGAAGTCAGGACTTCAAGCTCCAGAGCCAGCGCCTGTCACGTGAGCCAGATGAGTAAATGGAAGGCCTCCAGCTGTTTTGAGAGAGGCCGTGGGCACGTGCTGAATACTCACGAGCTCAGTGGACAAAGGTAAGATGTTGGGATAGAATAACCCAGAGCAATCATACAAACTGAGCTCACTGTAGAAACCGAGCCAAGTGGTCCTTAAACGCCCACAGTACAGTCTGCTTTTCTCCCCCAAAGTCAACGTCCAGCTCCAACGTGCTCCTTAAGGCAGCACGAGAGCACAGGTGCACCGGGGCTGGCCACTTGGAACAGCACCACTCGACCGATCTCTTCCCAGCTGTGTGGTAGGAACCGCGCTTGAGCCAGGCCAGCTAATGTCTGTGACTGAGCTCCCTAATTGGGAACTTTCTCCCTATATAACGGGTGTGGTCCACTCATCTGCTCTACCGCCAATGCCTCCAGAACTCCAGTGGGGCTTCGATCCCAAAGCCCATAGGCAGGACGCGGAATTGGCGCCCATCAGGAACAAGAAGGAAAGGCCGGTGTACTGTCCTCTGGGATTGAGTTTTCTTGGACGGGAATGGGAGGTATTAGGGAAAAAAAATCCGGTCCAGAATGTTTTGAAGGGTTCCAAAGACCAGGTGAGTCAGTAGGGAGCTGAGCCACTGGATAAACACTCCCGAGGCCAGGTAAGCCGGCCACATCTTGGCAGCGGGAGGCGAAGGGAGACTGGGTGTTTTGGGTGGGCCTCCAAGGGTGTCGTTAGCTGATGGAGAAGGGTGGCAGATGGAGTGAAGGAGGAGGGCCTGGGGCTGCCCCGGGACTGTTTTCTTTGGTGTCCCTTCTCTCGCCCAAAGGTTTTGGGCTTCCCCCTCCAAGGTATCTTGCCTCTGGCCTGAGCTGAGAAGGTAATTCTGCTGGGAGTTAAGAGAAGACAAGGAAGCAGGCAGCTCAGTGATAGCTGGAAGGGTCAACCGTATCCCCAGGCGAAATGAGAGAGAGAGGCGAAAATCACCCCCACCTCACCTCGTCACCCTCATTCCCTGGCATAATGTGGGCCATCGGTCCATTTGAGTATTCAGCCCCCTTTCTTCACTAGTATTGGCAAGGGCTCCACGATCCTAAACTGATGAACAAAGGAGGAAATGATGGTAAGATGGTGCCACACCATTTGGAAAACCAATCCCAGAGATCAATCTTCTGTCAGCAATGAGCTCTGGCCGACATAGAAGCTGGAGAGCCCTGACCCCGGCCTCACTCACACACAGACCCTTGCATCTGCCTACACTCCAGGGATGGGGGCGTGTGGCTCTCTGGAAGCCATCATCTCAGAAGCGTCTTCTGCTTTCTCCCACTGTCCCCTTTCTCACTCCCCTCACTTCCTCTGCCATCACCTCTCCCAGGCAGGACAGTGTCCCAGCCCCGGGCAGTGGACCTTGAATGACAGGTTTAATTTTTTTTTTTCCAATTGGAAAGAAGCCAAAGGATTCTGTCTCTTGTCTTCATGGTAAGGGCATCTCCCCCCTTTTCTGCGTCTAATCCCAGTGAGTCAAACACCTCCACTTGCAGTTAGGAGCTGGGAGGGGTGGCGAGTGGGCAACACCCACATAACTAAGCAATTTATGATTCTGTCCCTTTAGGTTATAAACAAGCCTGGCAGTTACCCATGAGGTTGGCCAAAGACCCTCAAGTTCCTCCCCTTTCGATCTTAAGGGATGCGCTTACACACTTGCCGAGCCTCACAATTAGTCGCATTTATCAACTCACTGTTATCCTTTCTTTGGAGCAGCATTTGAAAGGGAGAAAGAGGCCCACTCTTCCCCTGCTGCTTTCATAATGCCTGTTTTGTTCGCTTGGGATGAACTCTTTCAAGGAGCCCAGGGCTGCAGCTTGTTCTCCTGCTGTGTCTAATATACGGGGAGTTGTTATCTCCTTGTTATCTCTGCACCTCTGTCTCGGGTCCCGGGAAGGGATCCCGCAGCTGAGAACGATCCTCCCTCATCCTCCTCGCTACGCGGGGCAAATGTCTACCTTGCTCCATTTGCGCTGCTTCGGCTGCCCGTCCTCTTCCTGCGTGTTTGGCCTGTCTGCATTTATCTTTCCGGACCAAGGAGGGTCCTCTGGCTTTAAGAAAAATGGTTCTCCTGGCACCAAGCAGATTCCCCTCCTTGCCCACGATGCCTGCAGAAGAGCAGAGGTGGACAATCTTATGGCGCCATTTTGAGGGCCACCAATGGTCGCAGGGCCAGCTGTTCCCCTGCCAGCTATGCTTTCCTGACCGTCATGATTTATTCTTTGATCACCCACAGATACGCCTTAAAAGAATGCTTCAGAAAATCTTTAGGCCGGCGGAAATCAGCGCCAGCCCTGCTCCACTTACCAGCTCGGGGTGAAGATGGAT